TTTAACTTCTTTGTATGTGGAAATGTTGTCCTAAAACATGGCCAAAAAAAAACGTTTGTTTTAACCACTTCTTTGTATCTTCCTGAAACTTAGCTAGAGAACACTTGTTTAAGTTTTAACAACTTTTCTGTGTGAGGGAACTCTATCCTGAACTTGGCCAACGAGAACTTCTTTGAGTTTTAACAAATATATTACATGTAAGGTTCTGTTTTGAAATATGACCAAAAAGATTTCCTTGACTTTTAACAATTTTGTTGTATGCGGAAATTTTGTCTGAAACTTAGCTAAAGGAAGCTTGTTTGAGTGTTAACAACTTTTGTTTGTGTGAGGACACTCTGTTCTGAGACTTGGCCAATGGGGGACTTATATAAGTTTTAACTTCTTTGTATGTGGAAATGTTGTCCTAAAACATGGCCAGAAAAAAACGTTTGTTTTAACCACTTCTTTGTATCTTCCTGAAACTTAGCTAGAGAACACTTGTTTAAGTTTTAACAACTTTTCTGTGTGAGGAAACTCTATACTGAGACTTGACCAACGAGAACTTGAGTTTTAGCAAATATATTACATGTAAGATTCTGTTTGTAATATGGCCAAAAAGATTTTCTTGACTTTTAACAATTTTGTTGTATGCGGAAATTTTGTCTGAAACTTGGCTAAAGGAAGCTTGTTTGACTGTTAACAACTTTTGTTTGTATGAGGAAACTCTGTCCTGAGACTTGGCCAATGGGGGACTTATTTAAGTTTTAACTTCTTTGTATGTGGAAATGTTGTCCTAAAACATGGCCAGAAAAAAACGTTTGTTTTAACCACTTCTTTGTATCTTCCTGAAACTTAGCTAGAGAACACTTGTTTAAGTTTTAACAACTTTTCTGTGTGAGGGAACTCTATCCTGAACTTGGCCAACGAGAACTTCTTTGAGTTTTAACAAATATATTACATGTAAGGTTCTGTTTTGAAATATGACCAAAAAGATTTCCTTGACTTTTAACAATTTTGTTGTATGCGGAAATTTTGTCTGAAACTTAGCTAAAGGAAGCTTGTTTGAGTGTTAACAACTTTTGTTTGTGTGAGGACACTCTGTTCTGAGACTTGGCCAATGGGGGACTTATATAAGTTTTAACTTCTTTGTATGTGGAAATGTTGTCCTAAAACATGGCCAGAAAAAAACGTTTGTTTTAACCACTTCTTTGTATCTTCCTGAAACTTAGCTAGAGAACACTTGTTTAAGTTTTAACAACTTTTCTGTGTGAGGAAACTCTATACTGAGACTTGACCAACGAGAACTTGAGTTTTAGCAAATATATTACATGTAAGATTCTGTTTGTAATATGGCCAAAAAGATTTTCTTGACTTTTAACAATTTTGTTGTATGCGGAAATTTTGTCTGAAACTTGGCTAAAGGAAGCTTGTTTGACTGTTAACAACTTTTGTTTGTATGAGGAAACTCTGTCCTGAGACTTGGCCAATGGGGGACTTATTTAAGTTTTAACTTCTTTGTATGTGGAAATGTTGTCCTAAAACATGGCCAGAAAAAAACGTTTGTTTTAACCACTTCTTTGTATCTTCCTGAAACTTAGCTAGAGAACACTTGTTTAAGTTTTAACAACTTTTCTGTGTGAGGGAACTCTATCCTGAGACTTGGCCAACGAGAACTTCTTTGAGTTTTAACAAATATATTACATGTAAGGTTCTGTTTTGAAATATGACCAAAAAGATTTCCTTGACTTTTAACAATTTTGTTGTATGCGGAAATTTTGTCTGAAACTTAGCTAAAGGAAGCTTGTTTGAGTGTTAACAACTTTTGTTTGTGTGAGGACACTCTGTTCTGAGACTTGGCCAATGGGGGACTTATATAAGTTTTAACTTCTTTGTATGTGGAAATGTTGTCCTAAAAATGGCCAAAAAAAAACGTTTGTTTTAACCACTTCTTTGTATCTTCCTGAACCTTAGCTAGAGAACACTTGTTTAAGTTTTAACAACTTTTCTGTGTGAGGAAACTCTATCCTGAGACTTGGCCAACGAGAACTTCTTTGAGTTTTAACAAATATATTACATGTAAGGTTCTG